TTTCTGTTCTTCCGCGATCTCATCTGGAGGCCTTCTTCGGCACTCTGCCGGAGGGGGAATCGATCATGGAGGGCTTCTACATAATCCTTGTTGCATTCCGGTGATGCGTGAGTAGTTCACCACAGACCTACAGGTCCATAGGTATTAGCTAGAAGACTTCTTCTCTCTCTTTGATCTTCAATACAATGTTTTTGGAGTTCTATCCGATGTAATCTTCTTTTGCGGTGTGTTTGCTGTGATCCGATGAATTGTGAGCTTATGATCAAATTGTTCATGAATATTAATTGAGTCTTTTAAATTCTTTTATGCATGATTGTTATAGCTTTGTATTTCTCTCCGAGCTATCTGTTTAGTTTGGCCAACTAGATTGATTTATCTTGCAATGGGAGAGGTCCTTTGTCATGGGTTTAATCTTGCGGTGCTCTATATCCCAGTGACAAAGTAGGGGCCAAGACAAGTGTTTGTAATGTTTCCATTAAGGGTAAAATAACGGGGTTTATTCATATTGATTGAGTTACTTTGTCTACATCATGTCATCTTGCTTAAGGCGTTACTCTGTTTTATGCTTAATACCCTAGATACATTCTGGATAGCGGTTGATGTGTGGACTAATAGTAGTAGATGCAGACAGGAGTCAGTCTACTTATCTCGGACATGATGCCTATATACATGATCATTGGCTTGAATATCTTCATAACTATGCGCTTTTCTATCAATTGCCCAACAGTAATTTGTTCACCCACCGTATGCTATGTGCTCAAGAGAGAAGCCTATAGTGAAACTATGGCACCCGGGTCTACTTTTATCATATAGTAAAACACAAAATACATTACTGCAATTTTATTTCCTTTATTTTATTTTGCAATTTATCTTATTACCTACCACTACGAGATTTGGTCCTTGTAAGTAACCTTCGAGGGATTGACAACTCCCTTGTTTGTGTTGGATGCAAGTATTTGCTTTTGTGTGTGCAAGTGCTGCTAACGAGGTTCTGTGTGGTTCTCCTACTCGATTGATAATCTTGGTTCTTAACTGAGGAAAATACTTATCTCTATTGTATTGCTTCTTTCTATCCTCTTTGAGGAAATCCTAACGCAGCTCACAAGTAGCAATATGATGTGTTACCTCCTAGATCTGTGTGCCTTAGGATCGAGGTCTTGACAATAAACGCCCGGACTAACGGCCCGACCACTGTCCGTTAAAAGAAAGGCGACCAGCACCCCTTATATTTAGCCCAAATATGGGATAGATATGGGGCGGCTCGGGTGCGCCCGAAAACATCCACCACGTCGAACCCGACAGGCCTACTCCAACCACAAATTGCACCAAATCCACCAAAACCATTCTCCCTCCTCCTGCCTCCTTCAACCTTTCCCACGTTCAAGCCTTCGCCGTCCGCCACCCTTCCTCCCCATGATCGCCCCGGTCTCAATCCATCGCCCTAGATGTCGTCCACCGTCGTCGACTGCCGCAACAGAGGCTGCGTCTGCCTCATCCAACGGTGTCCCGTCTTCGGCTTTGTCCTGCAAGTCGGAGAATGTCACCCGGAGGGACCAACAACAGAGCCAGCGAGAGAGGGAAGCGTTAGTATCGCAAGGAGCGGATGTAGACATGGACGAGCTGTTGTCCCCCCGCCACGCACGGGATCTTGCACCCCATACATCCAACCGTCGACAAGGATTGCACCGTTGTACTAGGTTGGATAAAGGAGGATCCGACGCCGGGTTGGGGCATTCCGAAGAGCTTTCCGCCCATGCAGATGCCAGCAGGGAATGTCTATCACTCGCCGCAACTGGTTCGGGCTTGCGGAGAAGAAGGATATCAATGACCATTAGGGAGTACGAGGAGGCGAGGGCAGCTACAGCAGCAGCGACGCATGCGACAAGGATGCAGACGGAGAATGCGGCCCGGATGCAGGTGGAGGAGGACGCAAGGATGGCCTCGGAGCAGGTGACTTAGATGGTGTTCAACGAGTGATCGGGCCACCGACGAGTGATCCAACATGCTCGAACATTGATTTTACTTTGGCATATCCACATTGTTTAACTATGATTTGTTTTGCTTTATTTCAAACTGTTGAATTAAGACAATTTGTATCATATGATTGATGTGCATGGATTTGAGGCTCCGCATTTGAGGTGTGGATGTGCGGTAGCCCATATGAGGGGTCGCCTGGGGGCGCCCCTATATCTCGCATTCCGCGAGATTTACGGGACGCTCGCTGAAGGGGAGCGAGATGGGCCGGCCAGGAGCACGGGAGGCCACAACCTCCTTTTTTTTGGTTTTCTATTTTCTGCTTTCCTTTTCGATATATTTTTTAATTTTGTTTATACTTTAAAATATTCTAATATATATATTAGAAAAAATACTATATGATTTTTTTTCTTTCAAAATGTTTACCAAGCATTTGAAAAATGTTAAATATGTAGAGATAAAATGTTTATCACATATAAGATAAAATCATGTATTTAAAAAGTGTTAATCAAGCATTTAGAATTTGGTTGAACAAGTATCTGGAAAATGCTAAATGCGTATAGAAAAAATGTTGACTATGTATTATAATAATGATGAATTTTTTATCATGTATATAAATGTTAATCGTGCATTTGAAAAATATTAAATAAATATTTGAAAAATGTATATAAGCTTTTGAAAAATGTTAAATGTGTATAAATAATGTTATTTAGCTATTGAGCTTCAAAGTTTATGTTTTTATGTGATCGCAGCATCAAAAAGAAAGTCTGAATTTTCCACGGAAGCCGGCTCAAAATATTTGATCTTAGGTGCATTTCCCTCTGGAATATTATTGTTCGGGTGCGACCGGACTACTACCGATCAATTTTTGGGAACTTATTTATAGACGACCATGTAAAAATGATCAATCGTTTTGATCATGTACATAAATTTTTTAATCAAGTATTTGAAAAATGTTGGAAAAATATTTTAAAATATTTCTTAAGCAATTAAAAATATATTAAATGTGTATAGAAAAAATTTAAGCATGTACTAAAAAATGATGAATTTTTTGTTATGTATATAAAAATGTTAATCAAGCATTTGAGAAAATATTGAACAAGTATTTGAAAAATATTAATATGGCTTTTGGAAAATGTTAAATGTATAAAAAATGTTAAAACTATATTAAAAATGATTAAAACTTTGATCATGTTTATAAAAAATTAATCAAGCATTTAAGAAAATGTTGAACATGTATTTAAAAAATATTAATCAAGAATTTAGAAAATGTTAAAAGTGTATAAAAAATTGTTGGTCATGTATTAGAAAAAGTTAAACTTTTATTTGAAACAAAAAGGAAGAAAGAAACAAAATCGAAGGAAAATAATAAAAAAATAAAATAAAAGAACACATGAAACCGATAAAGAAATAAAGAAAACCAAAGGAAAACAATGGTAAAAGAAAGGAAAAAAATAATGAAAATAGAGAAAACCCAAGAAAACCCAGTGGAAAACAAAAGAAAAAAACAGAAAAACACTGTGAAAAACTAGCTCACTTGCCTAAAGTAGGACGCATCCAACTATCTGAGCACGAAATGGACACGAGCCTAGTGGCTACCAGCTCTCTCGGTTAGCCCGTAGACAAGAGTTAGATCCCCGGATGCGTCCCTGTTCTTCTCGATCTTTTTAACAGTGTGCGCTGTAAAATGAGCCGACCAGATACTGTTTTCACTTGAAAGGAAACATCTTACGGTCTCGCTTAAACCGACATATAGTCGCGGCGCCGTCTGGCACTGTCTGCAAACACGCTCAGGCTAATTGCCATGTCTGGTTGTAGATGCTCTGATACTTGTTGAGTTTTCTTAGAAAAAAAATACGAGTCGAATTTTCATGGGAAAAAATAGGATACGAATTGAGTTGGTTCACAACCGAGTGAGGGGCCTTATCCGGACGAAGATGCCAATGTGGCCTTTTTGTATGGATGTGGCTATATTTCAATCGATTGAAATATAATCAAATCTCAGTTTGATGATATGTAGTAAGTATATTATAAGAAAAAAAACTGAAAAGAAAATTTTTGTACGAATCTTGACAAAGGAATATAGCATTGACTGACTGATATATGACCAAGTCTCAGTTTTTCGTATATGTATACTGTTCAAGGCCGGTCAGTTGGCTAGTAGTGTCGCTCGTCCGCAGCTCACACAGTGGCCTGTGCTGTGCGAAATCAATTGAATAGAAGCAGCCGCATCTCCCTGAAGATGGAATAAAGGTCTTCCCGCCTAGCTCTCGTTCCGGCGGTGCATCTAGCATCGTTGGTGGGCGTGTGGAGGTGTGTCTCCGGCAGATCTATCTTTGGTGGATTTGCTCGGATCTCGTCGTTGTTCATCTACGTTCGTGTGTCTTCGGTTTGGATCCTTCCGATCTACGTTATTTTTCATCGGCGGCGGTTGCTGTTCTGGGGTGCTGGTCCTGTGGGGCCTTAGCACGACGACTTCCCGATTGTCTACTACAACAAGTTGTGCCCGGCTCCGGCGATGGAGGGGCGATGACGGCGGCGCGCCTTCGGCTCGCTTCGGTGCTTGTAGTCGTCGCCAGGTGGTCTACGAATCTGGATGTAATTTTTATTTCTGTTATTCGTTGTACTGCCATGATTGAAGATGAATAGATTGGAAGTTTTTTGGAAAAAAAAATAGAAGCAGCCGCATTTCCTAGGGTTAGGGTTTCAGAGCAACAGTGACGACCGCCGATTCGAAAGCATCGACGCAGAATTGTAAGTGAATCAGGGGCCGGTGGCTGCGATGTGCTGATCTCCTCCGCCGCCGTTGCTCAGCTTTGTTTGGTCGAGAGGGAGCAAGGGTGGTGTTCGTCCGGCCATCTCACCGCCGCCACCGGCCACCGCCGCGCCGACGAGTCGAGCTCAGGCCTGGAAGGTGAGTTGTCAAATCTGTGATTTTGATCTTTGTCGTCCCTGCTGCCTCCCGCCCCTTAGGTTGTTCGCCTCGTGTTCCCGCAGCTTCCGACGCGCACCACCTGTTCGACGGAATGCCTCGCACAAGCAGGGCAGAGAAATCGTTGAAGTCATGCAACGAGGACCGGATCAGCGCCCTGCCGGACGACGTCCTGCGCCATGTTCTTGGCTTCCTGCCGGCAGATGAGGCAGTGCGCACCTGCCTGCTTGCCCGGCGCTGGCGCTACCTTTGGAAATCCATGCGCCGTCTTCGCATCAACAAAATTGGGAGGTGGGGGAGCAGCTCTGGCGTTTTCCTTACCAAGTTTGTGAGCTGCATGCTGCTTCTCCGAGACCCTGGCTCAACTCTAGATGAGGTCGAGATCGAGTATGAACGTCATTTTGACGACGATCATACTTGGACATCAACATGGATCCATCATGCTTTGTCATGCCAAGCTCAGGTCCTCACTGTCAAGTTCCCTTTGCATCAGTTCTTGGTCTGCTATTTGGACGGCCCTCCTCTTGTCTCCCGGTATTTAAGAAGATTGCAGGTTTCTGATGTGACGTTGAAAAGCAACTTCCTAAAATTTTCAAGCTGTTCAGCACTGGAGTATCTGAAGATAAAAGACAGCAACTTAGAGACTGTGAGTAGCGTCCTTTCCCAGTCTTTAAAGCATCTGAGCATCGAGGATTGTTATTTAAAAAATGATGGCCGGATTCGTATTTCTGTCCCAAATCTTGTTTCACTGCAACTCATATCATGTGGAGGTAGAGTCCCATTGCTCGAAGGCATGCTGTCATTAGAAACCGCAGTTGTCAGGCCTCAAGTCTGCTGGAAGGATTGCTGTCTTGAAGGTGTGGCTGAGGGGTGTTGTGGTACTTGTGCGAATTGTTGTGGTAATGATGACCACAATGGTGGCTGTATACTTTTTGGAGGTCTGTCTCGTGCTAAAAACCTGGAGTTGACAGCTGATCCGGAAATGGTACACCTACACATACTTCATCTTGATTTTAATGCATATGTGTTCTGATCTCCATAGTAGTATCTGTTGGGGTCTCTATCCATCTTTACATATCAGTTAATGACGAAAATAGTGTAGCCAGTTGTATTGCCACCAGATGAGCTCTTATGTTCATTTTGTATATGTTAAAAATTCTATATATGTTTATGTGACTGCACTTTCAGATCTGACCCAATTCTAGTTGAGAAAGTCTTGTGGTGTTGAGAATATCCATTCAGACAGCATGCTCATGATGTGAATATCTAAAAGATATATCAACAATTCTTTGTAAATGTAGAGAGGGTTATTAATTATGACATACTGACGTTGCTTATATACTTCATCTAGGTATGAATTTTAAATGTTTAGCCAAAGGTCCATTGCACTTTCAGTACCAGTGCACTGTGGAATTTAAAACTAGATCCTTAACGGGAACTGCTTTGCACTTTGTTCAGTTTATTTTCAGAAGGGATTTGAGGTGGTGCCCTACATTTAGTAGGTTAAAGACATTGTTGCTGAGCGAGTGGTGTGTGCAACCTGACCTCCATGCACTAGTTTGTATGCTTGAACATTCACCGGTTCTTGAGAATCTGACACTTCAATTGTGTGAGGTATTTGTTTTCTGAATGGACAGTGGCATAGTTGATGCGGTGTTAAGTTTTATTTTCATACATGATTGATTGATATTGGTGAAATATTCTTGTTTGTTACAGCAAGAAAAAACTATATATGAAATGGAAGTGGAAGAAAATCCTGGTTTGATGGAGAAACCAGCTGCTATTTCGGGATACCTGAAGACTATCGAAGTCAAATGTGAAGAGGTTGATAACAGAGTTTGCAAAGTTCTGAAGTTCTTGAGTACATTTGGCATTGCAATTACTATCCAAAGGACTAACAGATAGTCGGAGAAAATGTAAGTTAACTTGTGGCTCTCTTCCTGGTTTTAGTGCAACTCAGTTGTATAGAAAGCCTTCATATAATGGGCGTACAAAACACGACCAAATCTATTTTCTTGGATAGAATTATCCAATGAGGCATGTCAACTAATTAACTCCCATGCGAATCAACACGTCAAATCCTGAGTGCTTCTTTTGAAGCATCAAACTCGGATGAGATGAGTGAACATGGGTGGTCTTTTGCACTGCTATAATTTGTTCATGTGCATGCCTCCTTGTCAAGTAACTGAGCAAAGTTGTTTCTTCACACGATTCCCCTCCTGAAGTCATATTTTGTTTAATTGTTTTTATATACTTATACATGATTCAGTTTTCAAGAGTTGATGACGAGCTTTTGGGCTGCTGATGGATGTACCAACCAACCATTCAGTTCCGGAGGTGGTGAGGCGAGGAGCTTTGTGCTGTCGATGGATGAGCATTCAGGAATGAAAAAGCTCGTCGCTATCTTTGTTCCGTGTGAACTTTCGTAATTTGCAACTCGAATCCATTTAGATGTCTAAACTGATTACTCTGCTTAGGGTAATGTACTCCTACTAATATTGTTGACCGTAGAATCGGCGAAAAAGAAAGTGGAACAGACTGTAACACAAACATGAGTTATTGGGTTTGTTTGGATAAATTTGGTATTTGTGGCTATGCATATTTAACAGTCTCTCGTCTGAATACCACCGTAAAGTAACTTTCGTAATTTGCAACTCGAATCCATTTAGATGTCTAAACTGATTACTCTGCTTAGGGTAATGTACTCCTACTAATATTGTTGACCGTAGAATCGGCGAAAAAGAAAGTGGAACAGACTGTAACACAAACATGAGTTATTGGGTTTGTTTGGATAAATTTGGTATTTGTGGCTATGCATATTTAACAGTCTCTCGTCTGAATACCACCGTAAAGTATGAGCCCAGTTAGGGAAAAAAATTCAAAAAAAAAAGGGCTATTTGGCTTCGCCCGGGTTCGAACCGGAGACCTTCAGTGTGTTAGACTGACGTGATAACCAACTACACCACGAAACCGTTCTTGCTTTGTTTCCTGTTTAACAGCACTTGTTCATATACTTTTTCACTTCTTTGACTGACCTAGATAAACTGTTTTCCATGCTTAGGGTCGGCTGAACTGCAAAAACAAAAGAGGTGCAATTCGTAAATGACCTGCAAATAGTTCATTTTGAAGCAAGAGAGAACATTATAATTAACGCATACGCTATATAAACACAATCTAAAATTCTAGAATCATAATTCCCCTGAACCCAAGCAAAAATGTAGGAGCCAGCAGCCTTCAGCTACGCTCCAAGTGCCGTCTTTACTACAAGTACTAGCTAGGACCATATTCTTTGAGCGGCTAGCTAATTACTTGTACTAATACTAATTTTTCTTTTATCTTGGATCAAAAGATCAAAAAGGTGAAGGGGAGCCTTGGCGCAGTGGTAAAGCTGCTGCCTTGTGACCATGAGGTCATGGGTTCAAGTCCTGGAAACAGCCTCTTACAGAAATGTAGGGAAATGCTGCGTACTATAGACCCAAAGTGGTCGGACCCTTCCCTGGACCCTGCGCAAGCGGGAGCTACATGCACCAGGTTGCCCTTTTTTTTAAAAGATCAAAAAGGTATGCTCTTATAGGTACCTAAAAAAGGGGAATACTTTGCAGCTGACCAACTGATCAGGGTAAAATGTGCATCACTTGTTACCATTTGGTCACACCAGTATAGATCTGTAGTGTTTTAGAGCAGGTTTTTCAACAGAGCCCTCGGTCAGTTCTGACTTCCGATTCTACTCAACTTGAGCATACACTCATATTCTCCTACAATGTTTCATGTAAAGAAATAAAAGTCGCTAAAGGGTTCGCGTGCCTGACAGTGTGGGAGAATCGTTGTTGGGCTCTGCACCGGGATTTTCTGCGCCATCTGCTTTACGAGCCCTGCTGAATTTCTTCTCCCTGTACACTAGGTAACCCGAATTGCGACCAGAAAAAGACACAAGATCATTTTGCAAGTCACCCCCATGATGAAAAGTAGGAGGAATAATAAGTGCTGGAGGAAGCTAATTAGTTTTTGCATGAAGTTGGGCACCGGAATTTTCATGGAGTTCAGAAAACAGAAATATAGAGTCATCAAACACGATATCACCAGAGATGTAATCACGTCGAATTGATATGTGAAAGATGTAATATATATACCAATGAACGAACACTGGGTAGAACGGAGCTAAAGTTTGTGTTTACTGAAAGGACGAAGGTTTGGCCATACTGCGCACCCAAATATACGAAGGAAAGAGTAGTCTGCTCTAAGGTTGAAAAGAAGTTCTAATGGCGTTTAGGGTTGAATAACTTCGCTAGGTAGGAAATTGAGTGGTAGACCGATGGGCGCGACACCGGCAGGGGGGAGGAGAATGGGAGGCG